TCTTTGCACTACTAGGGATCAAACCCAGGAGCATTCTATCTCTGCTAGATCCACAGTCCATTTTATTTTTTTTCTTTTATTTTATTTTCTTAACAGTTGTAGATGCAGGGGCTGGGGTTGTGGCTCAGTGGTGGAGTGCTCGCCTAGAACATGTGAGGCCCTGGGTTCAATCCTCAGCACCACATAAAAATAAATAATAATAGTTGTAGATACACAGCATGCCTTTATTTATTTTTCATATGGTGTTGAGCATCAAACCCAGTGACTCACACAAGCTAGGCAAGTGCTCTGCCACTGGGCTACAGTCCCAACCCCCACCTTTTTTTTTTTTTTGAGACAGGGTCTCACTAAGTTGCTTAGGACTTCATTAAATTGCTGAGACTGGCCTGGAACTTGTGATTCTCCTCTCAGCCTCAGAAGTAGATACATTACAAGAGGACACTGTACGCAACTCAGTTGCCAAAATTTTAGGCAGCCATGCCTTTTACATCACCAATTTATCATCCTACAATCTATGGGAAGATACTCAACACCCAACAGCACTGTCTGTAATATCAAAACTTGGAAACCTGGGGCTGGGGCTCAGTGATAGAGCGCTCACCTGGCACACATCTGGCACTGGGTTGGATGCTCAGCACCACATAAAAATAAAGGTATTGTGTCCACCTACAATATACATATAAATATATATATCAATATATATATATATATATAAATGTGAAAACCCAAAGGTCCATCAATAGAAAACTGGTTAAATAATTTATAGCACATCTAGCCAGGCACAGTGACACACATCTGTAACCCCAGTGGCTTGGGAGGCTGAAGCAGGAGGATCACAAGTTCAAAGCTAGCCTTGGCAACCTAGTGAGGCCCTAAGCAATTTAGCAAGACCCTGTCTCTAAATAAAAAATAAAAAGGGCTGGGGATGTGGCTCACACCCCTTGGTTCCATTCCTGGTACCAAAAAAAAATCAGCAACTTAGCAAAAGCGTCCCTTAGCTCACCAAGAACCTGTCTCAAAACGTAAAATAAAAAGGGCTGGGAATGTAGTTCAGTGGCAGAACTCCACCAGGTTCAATACCACAAAAGATAAAGCAGGGAGCATTCCAAATCATTTTTGGTCCAGACTACTGATTCTAAAATTACAAAGTCAATTAAGATCTACAAAACTTGATGTCACTTACTTTTGCCCCCCGACACACACACACACAAAATAACTGAAATGCTGGATGTTAATGCACTCCACTGTGGCAACATTTACTATCTACATCTCTCCCATAACAGCATGCTACATACTTAAATGATATAATGAAGTCTATTTTTTTTTAGAGAGGGGGGGAGCCAGCGCAAAGCTGGAAGTCTTCCAGTACCAGATTTTTTTTTTTGAGAGAGGAAATTTTTTTTAAAATGTTTATTTTTTAGTTTTCAGTGGACACAACATCTCTGTTGGTATGTGGTGCTGAGGATCAAACCATGCCAGGCAAGCGAGATACCTCTTGAGCCATATCCCCAGCCCAGGAAGTCTATTTTTTGAAAAAAATAATAATAATAAGGCAGAGCTGAGGATGTGGCTCAGTGATAGAGACTTGCCTAGCACTCTCCCCCCCACACAAATTTTGAATTTAACAGATACCAAAAAAAAGAGAGAAGAAAATGCCTGGGCTTAAGCAGGGGATTTTGCTTTCATGCAACAGTTGGTTAGGGATGAAGTCCTCCCAGGCACACATGCCCTGGACAACAGAAAAGACATGCAGGGATGACATGCAAGGACAGACAAGGGCACTGGCTCATGGAGCGTGACACCTAGCAAACCAATTATACAAAACTGGTGATTTTTAAGAGTTCATTTGGCTTAAGGAGGAAAAGCGAGGTGTGCCAATGAGGAAATGAGACAAGTAGGTTAGGAAAGGGATTCAGTGACAGAGCATCTGCCTAGCATTACCAAAGCTTTGAGTTAGGGCATTAGCAGCACAAACAAAAAAGGAACAGAGCTGGAATAGGATAGACATTTCTCTAAAGAAGATATATAAATGGCCAATAAATACATTAAAACATGTTCAATATTATTACTCATCAAAGAAATGCAAATCAAAACCAGGAGAGCCAGACAAGTGCAAGGTGAGGAAAGGCAGGCACCTTCACACATTGCTGTGAGCCCCAGGAACAACTTGACAATTCCTCAAAATGTTAGTTACCATATGACCCAGCAAGTCCACTCCTACATCTATCTATTCCCGGGAAGGATGAAAACAAACATCCATAGGAAAATTCATACCAAATGTTCACAAAAGTATTACTCATAATAGCCAACAAATAATTCAGTTGTCCATCAACTAATAAACATGTAAACTGCTATAGAGATGTTGACGAAAGCTCAGTCCTTGTCCAGATGTCTATCCAATAGCGAGGACAGGGTTTTGAGAAAAAGGAAAAAGATGGTTCATTGCTTTACTATCAAAGGAGGAAACACAGGGGACTCCTGTTCCAAAGGCTGTGATTCTGTCCATCAGCAATGAAAGGGAACTTTCATTTTTTAAAATTTTTTAGACATCGGTGGGCTTTTATTTTGTTCTTTAATTTATATGCAGTGCTGAGAATCGAATCCAGTGCTTCACACATGCTAAGCAAGCACTCTACCACTGAGCCACAACCCCAGCTCCAAGAAAAGGGGACTTTTAAAGAGATGATTTAGAGAAAATGAGATTAGGGAGGAGAGATGGGGAAAAGAAGATCAGGGAGGAGAAGGCTGGGAAAAAGAAAAAAACAAGTAAGTTTCAAAGCAACAAGGTATAGTCAAAACATTAAGTGAACCTCTGTTACAGATACACATAGGCAATGCATTCTCAGACAACAAAAGGAAATGCAAATCAAAACCACAAAAAGGGATAGAGGGTGTGTAGCTCAGTGTTAGAGCACATGCCTAGCATGTGCAAGATTCTGGAAAGGTATCACTGCACATCCACTAAGGTGGTCTGATTAAAAAACAAAAACAACAACAACAAAGAAAAAAAAACAGGAAACAAGGGTTGGTGAGGATGAACATACTGAAATCCTCATAGGATACTAGTGGGAATATAAAATACTGCAGCTGTTTTGGAAGAACTTGGCAGTTCCACTTTAAGATAAACATAGAATTACTATATGACCCAGTAGATGCAACCCTAGGTATGTATCCTAAAAAACAGAAAATATCCATCCACTTTAGAATGGATAGTCAGGGGCAGTGGTGCATGCCAGTGACTCAGGAAGATCACAAGTTCAAGGCCAGCCTGAGCAGCTTTAGCAAGACCCTGTGTCTCAAAAGAAAAAATGAAAAAGCTGAAGATGTTAGCAGTGAGGTTCAATCCCTAGCACTGAAAAAATAACATGTGATGCATCCACACAAGATTATTCAGCCATAAGGAATAAAATAATGATACATGCCTTAACAGAGGAACTTTGAAAAAATAAGCTTAGTGAAGGCCAGATACAAAAGGCCACATATTGTATGATTCCATTTATATGAAATGTATAGAATAGGCTGAGACAAAAAGTAGACCAGTGATTGCTCGCAGGGAAGGCAAGCGAGGGGGACAAGGCAGGACACAGTGCTAATCTAATGGGTACAGGTTTGTTTTTTTTAAGCCAATAATGTGGTCTGGGATATAGCTCAGTTGGTAAGAGTGCTTGCCTTGAATGCACACAGCCTTGGATTCAATCCCCAGCACACATGCGCGCGCGCGCACACACACACACACACACAAAAGCCAATAATGTTATAAACCAGATAAGGACTGTGGATGTGGCTCAGTGGTAAAATGCACCTGGGTTCAATCCCCACTACCAAAATAAATAAATTTACAGGGCAGATGTCAATCATTTCACTAACTTACACCTGGGAGTCAGATTTACCCTCCTTGTGCCCCAGATGCCCTGAAATTGGAATGATTGGCTTGCTATACTTCTGGAAGCTTCCTAACTTGTTCCACTTTTTTGGAGGTAACTCCAAAGCCAGAGACCATAACTTCCATTCCTTCTGGATCCCACAGCAGAATGTAAAAACTCCAGGAAGCGGGGCTGGAGTTGTGGCTCAGTGGTAGAACGCTTGCCTAGCATGCACAAGGCACTGGGTTCGATCCTCAGCACCACATAAACGTAAAATAAAGATATTGTGTCCACCTAAAACTTAAGAATATATACATTAAAAAAAAAAAAAAGCTCCAGAAAGCATTTACTAAATGCCTGCTGAAAGAAGGCTACTCACTTGAGTATGCCCAGCTTGGCCAAGTCAACTCAACATTCCGGAAAGAAAACTAGAAATACAGTTAGAAGGGGGAAAAAAAAAAAAGCCAAAAGACGGCCACAATGCCTAACGATTCAATCTAAAAGATAGTGTTAAGAAAACGCAAAGTCTAAGGGAAAGCAAAAGAGAACAACAACATTTGCATAGCTCAAATGCGCAGTCGTATGCAATCAGGACGACCCCCGCCCCCCCCCCAAAAAAAAACTGAGAAAACTAAAATACTAGATCTCAAAGAGTGAGGGAAGGTCAAGTGGGGATGGAGGGTACAGATGACGTAAGTTAACCCAAGGTTTCCCTAAAGCTGCTCTCTCCAAACACAATATTAAGATGATACGGCCTTTGGCGTCACGGCTACCAAGATGAAGCTCACTTCCAGCAAGTTCCTTTTAACAAGTGAAAACGCCTAGCTGTGACCAAGACAGACAAACCATCAATGTTCGCTTGGCTCTCGGTCCCTACCTTCAACCACCTCACCGCCATCTTCTGGATAAGAACCCAGCACTTTTCCTAAAGGGCTTTCAAGAGCATCACCTCCGCGCAGAGCCCGGGAGGGTTGCATTTCCCAGGTCGCGCAGAGCGCAGAAAGGGGAACCTCCACCTGGCTCTTCCCTGCGCTTCCCAAATGCACGCAAAGGGCCGCCTTCTTCCTTCCCCCAACCCGCCCCAGCTTCCCAAGGTCCAGCGCCAGGGTCCCGCGAAGCCCGGTGCGCGGGCCTCACCTGCACACGCCGCGGATGCAGGGCTCCAGCCAGATTCGGTAGGCGGTCTCGATGTGCTCCTGCGACACCTCCTCGGGCCGCACCGTCTCCGCCCAGCGCCAGGCCGCCTTCTCCAGCTGCAGCCGCGGGGCCATGGCCCTGGCACAACGAGCGCCCCTCAAGCCGGGCCGCCTCCGCCTCCGCTGCCGCCCGAACGGGCTCCGCCACCTGCCAGCGAAGAGGACCAAGTGCTCTCTCAGCCAGATGGCCAGTCAATCACCTGTGCGCGCCACTGTTGCCGCGCCCGCCCGCGCCCAACCCGCACGACTGGCCGCAAAGCGCCGCCGCCGCCACCCGACACCACCCGCGCCCACGGACGTTGAAGGTGTATTCCCCGCAGCGGTGGGCGCATGCGCGTTCCCAGCAGCCCCTGCGCCACCCGCGCCTCTAACCGGACGAGCGGCGGAAGGGGGAGAGGCTGGCCAAGGCAGTGTTGCCACGTCTTCACCGCCGCAGCGGGGGAAGCAACGTCTCAACCCCCAGGGTAGCGTCCTGCGTACCACTGTTCTAACAAGCCCGCGACCGTGGGGCAGAAGGCTGAGTGTCCTTGCCTCCGGTACTTCCCCTTTAACAGTGGAATCACGCGCGAGGCTACTCAACGCACACCATAGGTCCTCCTGTATTGCGGGGTGGGCCCTGTCTACAGCAGAAACCGGGTCACCACAGAAACCAGGGTCACCTCTCTTGAGGAAGACTTAACTTGAGCCTGAGCTGGTTCCGACTCCTTTCCCGAGCCCTGCTGACGTCACGGGGCGTTCTTGGCTTTTCCTGAGCTAGAACGGGACTACAAGTCCCGGCGTGCACTGCGTGCTGCCCCTCGGTGCGGGGCGCGCTGGAATATGTAGTCTTGCAGGTGCGTGGCTAGGGCCGCTGCAGATGGTGTGGGGCGCGCGCAGGGTCTTGCAGTGGGCTCCCGTTTCTTGACCTTTTGTTGTTATTGGGGATCAAATCCACGAGCTCGTTACCACTCAACTACATTTTGTTTTTGTTTAAGACAGCGTCTTGCTCCTTTGCTGAGCCTGGGGGTCGAAATTGGCGAACCTTCTGCCACGGCCGAGTGTAGGGATTTCGGGCGGCGCGACCACGCCTGGCTCCCTCCTCCCTGGCTCCCGGGCACGAAATCATTTACTTTCAGCCATTTCTGCCAGGAGGCATAAAAAGTAACCTTTATCTAAATGTTTTCCTGCTGCGAATGGAGCTGTTAATTTACATTTGAATGGGAGCTCTAAGAGGGAGGGGTCTAAGCTCGAATTTCTGAGTCAACTGCTCTCCAGCTGGGTAACCTTGAACTGGATTCTTTAGGTGTGATGAAAAAAGTGGTTCCTGCCCTTGGAGTTGGGTGAGGGTCGAGCCTTAGAAATTCAAAGATATCCTTCCCTGTTTGTTGAAGGGTAGTGGGTGGAGTACTTGAAAAAAGGCTTCCCCGAAGAACCCCGAACCTACCAATTAAAAAAAGAATGGAATAGTGTGCCACAGCACACGTGTAATCCCAGGGACCGAGATTACACTGCTCAGGGGCCGGCCCTATTACCAAAAGCTCTGTCTTGGTCCCTCATGCTAATCCAATAAGGAGAACACTGCTTGGAAAAAAGGAAAAAATTTTAGTGCTTTGCTAGCAAAGGAGAAACACAAGGAACTCCTGTCCCAGAACCTGTGATTAAGCCCATCATCAAGAACCGGTGGCTTTTAAAGAGATGATTCAAAGGCTACATTCCCCGTATTCTCTGTCTGGAGTTGTAATTGAGTATTAATCTGAGAGAGTCATTTCTTAGATCTTCTGGTGCCATTCCCAAATCTGAATACTTTGTTGTGGGTGGGTGGTGAGTGTGTGCTTAAGGACAGATAAATCTGTGTAAGATGGGGAAGAAAGGTTATCCAAAGCCAGAAAGCGAGAGAGGGAGAGATTAGGAGGGTGGAGGGAAAGAAGGAAAAGAAACATCAATTTTAAAACTAAATTGCAGGGCTGGGCTTTGTGGAACACACCTGTAATCCCACTGACTCAGGAGCCTGAGACAGAAGGATCTTAAAACCAGCTTCAGCAATTTATCAAGGCCTTAAACAGCTTATCCAGACTCTGTCTCAAAACATAAAAAGGGTTGGGGATGTGACTTAGTGGTTAAGCACCCCTGGGTGCAAACCTCAATATGAAAACAAAAATAAGGGGCTGAGGTTATAGCTCAGTAGTGTAGTGTTTGCCTAGCAAGTGTGAGGCACTGGGTTTGATGCTCAGTTCCACGTAAGAATAAAAGTAATGTGCCCATCTACAACTAAAAATATATATGTTTAAAAGTGGGCTGGGGATGTGGCTCAAGCGGTAGCCCGATAGCTTGGCATGCGTGCGGCCCGGGTTCGAGCCTCAGCACCACATACCAACAAAGATGTTGTGTCCGCCGAGAATTAAAAAATAAATATTAAAAATTCTCTCTCTCTTCTCTCTCACTCTCTCTTTAAAAATAAATAAATAAATAAATAAATAAATAAAAATAAGTTGCAATGGCAAAGCAGCAAGGACTATATATTCAAAGCACAAACTGGACCCCTGTTACACTCTGAGTTACTCCATTTTATAAAGTGGTAATTGGCCATGAGTTACTCCATTTTGAGTTTAATTGCTGAGGTTGATACCAAAAATGGCCCTTATCCCCTATGCTGATCCAATAAGAAAGATAATTTTGAGAAAAAGGAGAAAGAAATTTTATGGCTTTGCTAGCAAAGGAGATAAAGGGACTCCTGTCCCAGAGGCTGAGGTTCTGTCAGGGGAACAGAGGGTTCTTAAAAGAGGTGATTCAAAGGCTATACTCTAGCTGTGCCCTGTCAGAAATCATAATTCTTTTGTAGCCTTGAGAGCCATTTCTTAGGTCTGTGGTTGCCAACTCCCAAGTCAGACGCCTTCATTCCTGTGGTCTGTGAGCTTAAGTACAGATAACTTGGCCTCGGTGGGAAGAAGGTTAATCTTGTGTACCCCATGATTACAGAGAAAAAAGAAAGGGGAAAATATCAGTTTCAAAATAAGCTTCAGTGGCAGAGCAGTGAGGGTCAAAGCATGAAGTGGGCCTGTTGCGAGGTGGAGTAACTGCGCCTCATTTGAGTAAACCACCACCCATCACTGTGAGCCAAGCACAACTGAAAGGCACAAACTTATAAATTAAATGTGCTAATAAGATTATCCACCTGTGAATTTACTGAATTAGAAGCACGTGGATGCATGGGTGTATCAGAAAATCAGGTGTGGCGCATGCCTGTAATCCCAGCGGCTTCGGAGCAGAGGCTGGAGGATCCCAGTTCAAAGCCATCCTCACTAAGCAACTCAGTGTAAGGATAGCCTTAGGCATGAGTCTAAGCAACTCCATTTATAAACGGGTTTGAAACCTGCAGTCTCACCAGGCACTCCTAAGGGAGCCCTACAGTATGGCCCTCAGGCACAAATAAGTCACTTCTCCCCACCCTGATAAACTCAGATTGAAGCTTCAGGCAGGCTGTCCTTTCTCAAAGGCAAAAAGATCAGGGTGGGGACCACCAGACTTGATGTTTTCACCTCAGGGTAAATGATGTAACTAAGAGACCTGGTGGCAGCTGATAAGGATTAAAAGGGGGTCAAAAGCCCAAAATTTAGAATAAATGGGGCAAATGAACAAACATTCAGCCAGCTGACACTGATGCACCAGTCTGAGAGCCTAATAAGGACCTGGACTGACATCCCAAACTTTTTTTTCATTGTTTGCCTGATCCTGTGCGTTTTCCTCACCAATCTCAAACCCTACAGCCACATCTTGACCCTGGTGAGAGCTGCAACTTCTTCCTATGACCCTCTCCTCAAGTGGCCCCTCAGCTCCACCCCAAGAGAAGCCTGTCTTGGTTCAAAGCCTAAGGCTTGAGACTTTTGATCTGACACTTGAACTTAGCATGCAGAGGGAATGTCTGTCATGAGCCTGTCATGATTAAGTGTGTTTGCAGTGCTTAGAGTTAATCTAGAATTGTTTGTTGTGAATTGATCATCTCTATTGCAGTGCCTAGCATTAAGGATTGTCATTTCTTGATTAAGAACCTATAAAGTGGAGCTGGGGATATGGCTCAAGTGGTAGGTAACATACTCGCTTGGCAGATGCGGGGCGCTGGGTTCGATCCTCAGCACCACATAAAAATAAGTTGTTGTGTCCATCGAAAAACTAAAAAATAAATATTAAAAAAATATATAAAATAAAGATGTTGTGTCCACCGAAAACTGAAAAATAAATATTAAAAAATTCTCTCTGGGGCTGGGGTTGTGGCTCAGTGGTCGAGCGCTTGCCTAGCATGCATGAGGTACCAGGTTCGATCCTCAACACCACATAAAAATAAATAAAGACATTGTGTCCATCTACAACTAAAATATTTTTAAAAACTCTCTCCAAAAAAAAAAAAAAGACCTATAGAGAGAAATTGTATTGAGTAAATAAAGCATTAACTAGGGCAGAAGCGGGTGGACATTCTTTATTTCTCACCCTACACTGCTTAAGTCACACCTTTTGCCCTTCTTGACACTCTGTGAGACCCTGTCTCAATTAAAATTCAAAACAGGGCTATAGGTGTGGCTCAGTGATCCAGTAACCCTGAGTTCAATCCCTGGTATTCCCCC